TTGGACACCATAGGCACGGTACTTGGAAACTACAGAATTTTTAAGGAGCCTACAAAAAATGTTTGAGACCTGAAAAAAAGCATATATATTTGCTCTATAGAATGGAAAAGAAAACTGCAAAATTGAAATTAATAAATTTTTAATTAAATGTCTATATAACAGCATGCTTTGCCAATTTCAGCCATAGTTAAATTTAGTGTTCATTTGAATATTGATTTTGAAAGCAAATTGTAGCTTAGGTTTCCTTTTGCTGATAAATCACAGCCAATCATAACTTAATAAGTTACTCATAGTCAAATGTTTTCAAAAATAAATTATAAAAATCTTTTCAAGTATTTATAGCAAAAATTATTTTTAATGTGGGCCGTGGGTGTATATTAATATTTTGAGGTGAGAATATCAAAAAGGAAAAATGCCGGCAGCTATTCATGTTATCCCTGTTTGTGGGTGGCTGATTTCATGCACTTTAAAAAAATATATTTGGTGGCTTAAGTGAATGCCCATAATATGCTTATTAACCTTTGTTTTCTAATATTCATTGTCATTGCTTAAGTAAGGGTTTCTGCTTTTTGTGAGGATGCTTAATCCATAAACACACATCTTCCCAGATTCACTCCATGATAGGAAATGGAAAATTTGTATAGATATAGAAAGGCTTTGGGAAAAGCAAACGTCTTTTTAGCTGTTAAGCGTTCAATACCATTCAGTGAGCTTTGATAACTCACAGTGAAATTGAATCACAGAGTTAGAATTTGCCAATTATTTTGCTCTGCAAAATACAGATATTTTACAAAATTTTTCTTTTCGTGAAGTTTATTGCTTTTATACAGAAAATTTCTGCTACTGCTGCTCACCCTGAGATGAAGAGGTGAGAAAATGAGCCCAAATCCTGCCCTTCTCAGAGTTGACTGGCTTGCTTGGGGTGGGCTGTAACATGGGTCTTGCAGTGGTACATGAACAGAAAGACCAGTGCAGTGGGCCCAACCACCTTGAGTCACTGGGCTTAAATGCCACCTCTTCTGTGAAAATTTCCCTGGGTTAGGTGGTCTTCCTGCATGTTGCCATGGAACACTGTAGTCTATCATCATAGCACATCGTCAGTTTCTTTTCGTTGTTGACTATCCTCAAAACTGTAAACTTCTTGGAAAGTGACTGTCTTGTTCATCGTTATTTACCCAGAACCTAGCATTATGCTCAGCACATAGTACCTCTGCAAATATTTCTGAATAATGTGACAAATGTGAGGCTTGCAAATAAAAATATTTCAAAGGCGAATTTACTGCTATGACACAAATGTTAAAAAAAAAATTTTGTGAGATGAAAAATGTGAACATCTTTAATTTTCTAGGGTTAGGAAGAACTTTGGGGGAAATGGATGCTTTAAAATGGTGTTAAGGCTAACATCCTTTTAGTTATAATAATTTATAATAGGAAAATTTTAATTTGGAATGATGGAAACAGGTAACTCACAGTGGCCTTGAAAACACCTATGTTCTTGAATTATTATATGTAAAAATGTTTAATTGTTCATGGCAGTCCATGAAAAAGGATACCAGAATAAAATGCACTGCAGTGGACACTGTTGGTTCCCTGATCAGATCCACTTCACCTGACAGGTGTGCTACATCCCCCAGCTGCTGTGGGTGTTAACCGCTAACAGCCCACAATTATCCCCCTCTCCAGAGAATTGCCCTTGGAAATGCCATTTTGGCCCGTGGTCTATGAGTAACTGATGTGGTTGTATAAAACCTTATCATGGGTCAACTTTGATGTGTAATTCACACTCCAGAGCTCCCCATGGGACCATGCTGAAGCCCAACTTTAGATAACCCACTTCTCCACCTAGCTTCTTTCCCTGTTCTATCCTGCTTCTTTCACTACCTTGTAGGTTTCTCCCAGGAACGCTCCTGCAATAAATCAGCTATACAAGAATCCAGGTTTGCTTCTAGGAAACTACCCCTAAGATTTTACTGAAATTTCAACTTCTGGGGGTAGGATGACTCCCAGTGCCTTTCTTACATGCTTGTTGAGGGTTCAAGAGCAAGGTGAAATGACATTTCTTCTCTGCCCTATACATTTTCAGACTCCTGTGTTTAACACTTATGTATTCAGCATGATAAGCAGAGTACAGTACTTTTTCTAGGAGCCTCAATTTTATTCAAATTAAGCATTTAAATTAGTACAGTACCTATTTTCTGCCAGGAATGTGCTACGAAGGTGTTAGGAATGTAACAGTCAATAAAATATAATGTTCGCCCTCAAAATAAAAAAGAAAAGCTTCTAAGGATGCGCCTTATGTAAGAGAACTTAGAGCAAACAGACATCTTATCCAGTCTCCAATTTTGATTTGATTACACTAAAGCACTAGCCCCTCAGCCAGGGTAAGCTCCTGTGCAGAAACATTTCATTGTCTTTCCTTCCAGATAACACACACATGGTGTCTATAAATCAAGTGAATTAAAGGCAGTTCACAAGAGTATCCTCACAGTGTCATCATAGATGAGACAGCACTGACAGATCATTGCTTTCTAAAACTCCTTCCCACATCATTGGGAGGGGAGGGTAAATGTGTTATTTCCTGCTCATCTTCCTTGGAACAATGCAATTTTCTGTAGTTTTCTTTTAAGAAAATAAGTCATGGCTTGCCTCCCTCTGTGAATAAGTTTGGTATCACTTGTTTTTGAAATGTTTTCCCTCTGGACGCAGCCTAGAAAAGAGTCAGGGAAGGTTCCTGCAGCAATGCCATAGTTTTGATTGCTGGGCGTTGTGTTGGCCACATTTCACGTGTGTGCTCACACATGCGTGCACGCTCACTTCCCGTCCAGTGCTGGAAGAGTTTTAAGGCAGGAAGCAAAAGATGTCCTTTTTGAAATGTCTCCTTAAGTTATTGAATATGTGCCCAAGATCCATTTTTTTCTTATGAGAACTTCATCTAAGAAATAAGAATATATCATTAAAAATTCCTTTCTTTAAAAAAAAATGGTTAGGTTTCCTAACCTCTCTTGGCCCCACGTTTTCTCACTTATAATGTGAGAGAGTTGAGCTAGAGGAGTTCTGAGGTCCTGTTCATCTCTCATATATTCTGATTGCTATATGCCCTTCTTCCTGGACATGCTATATTTAAACTCCGTTTAAAATAATTTCTTTCAGCTTACATCAGTATTTTTTGTTGTGTAGTTAGCAGATCCAAGGAAGGATATGTGTGTGTGTGTGCATGTGTGTGTGCATGTGTGTGCGTGCGCATATAGCTTAATCTGTATCAGGGCTTATCACTGTAGCTTTCTCAAACTTACAATATTTTTGACTGAAGTGAAGGAACAGAAGTATTTATTAATAGTAAAAAAAAAATCACTAGCTTGCTTATGAGGATTGAATAAGGGCTATAACAAACAACCCCAAAATCTCAGTGGTTTAATACAATAAAATGAAATAGAATAAAATAAAAATGTATTGCTTCTTCACAATCCAGTGCTGTCAGCAAGGGTAGATGGAGGAAGAGTCTCTGCTCCACGTGGTCGTTTAGGTACTCAGGATCTTTCCATCTTGGAACACTCTCATCTCCCACACGAGGCCTCTAAAGTTGTTCCAGCAGGGGAAAAGGAAGTGGAGGAGCACCTACTGGAAATTTTTATGAGCAGGAACTGAAACTGGCCCCTTTCCATTGGCTGGAACTCAGCTATGTGGCTCTAACATAATTGTGAGGTGGCTGCAAAATGTAGCCCAGCAATGTGCCCAGATGAGAAAGGAAACCCATGGATATTGCTGAGCTCAAGCATTCTCTGTCTTACCTGGTTTTCTGACTCACTGGCATTCTGAGATTGAGAGCTTGACACAGTGCTTTGCTGATCAATGATTTTCCTGCACATGCCACCTACCCTTGTCTTTGGGCCACCTCTCACATTCTCTCTCTCCCAACTTACACACCATTTACTTTCTTCCAGCTTCATCTTTACTCTCTTTTATTTGATACCTTGAGGTGGAGAGACAATGTGAATGTGGGTGGGGAGCCCCAAAAGATGGATTTCCATGAATGGGAAGGACAGTTCACTGGAAAAGTCGCAGGAATGTCCGAAAGTGAGTCAGGAGAGACAGCAAGGATGCCAGGAGAGGTTTGAGTTGGTTTGAGATGGGAAATATTAATAATTAATCCAATAGGGGACAAATTTCATGGTGAAAATTCTGTTTTTCCTTGTGTTTGGAGGTGGTGTTTGGAACGAAATTTTATGAACCTAATATAAAATTTAGATTGAAGATCCTCTCTCATGTTAACTGCATTGGAAAGGCCAGCGTTCACAATTAAGAACTATAAACATTTAAGAGCAAGTCATTCCAGCTGTTATGTTTTTTAACACTCACATAAAAATAACTCACACACATATTCAATAATTTAGGAAGATGTTTTTATAAAGAACATCATTTGCTTTCTGCTTTAAATTCTTCCACCATGGAATGGGAAGCAAACATGTACGTGCTTGTAAACCCGGGATGACACACGTTCAACAAATGTGCCCAGCAGTCAAAACTGAATCATCACAGCAGGAAATCCCCCTGTATTATTCTCCAGCTTGCCCCCTAAAGAGTTGCAGAGTTGCAGATATTGTAGTATTCCTAACATAATATAGATACTTGCCCAAGACTCAGGTCACAAAAGGCATTAATTCATCTTTTTGTCTGCTCATTAATTACCAACAATTGAGCCCCTTCTCATTTGTTATGCTTAGTTTAATAAAAACCGTTTCTGGAAGCAAGTTCCTGTTGAAGTTTGTAAGTGGCATGTCTTACACCTAAAATTCTCACTTTGGACAATTTAACGGAGCCAACAGACATAAAAGTCTTGCCAAGAACAATTCCCAGGAAGAATTTAAAAGCAGTGAATCCTTGGTAGTTCAGAGGAAGTGGCAGGACTTGACCCCCAAATATTAAAAGGAACTAGGTGAGTCTGTTCTGAAAGTCTATAAAGAAACTGCTTAATTGACACACACTGTGTTTCTTTTCCCCAGGGCTTTCCAGGAAAGGATGGTTCCTCTGGCCCTCCAGGACCACCAGGGCCAATTGTAAGTATTTCCAGAAACTACCGGGACATACTCTGCTTTATAGCACTTCCTTTCTTTTCTTTCTTTTTTGTTGTTTGTGAGACAGGGTCTCCTCTGTTGCCCAGGCTATAGTGCAGTGGCGTCATCCTAGCTCACTGCAATCTCAAACTCCCAGTTTAAGCAATCGCAACCTCCCGAATAGCTGGGACTACAGGTGTATGCCATCACCACCAGCTAATTTTTCTATTTTTTTGTAAAGATGGGGTCTCACTGTGTTGCTCAGGCTGGTCTTGAACTCCTGGCCTCAAGTAATCCTCCCACCCCAGCCTCCCAAAGTGCTGGGATTAAAGGTGTGAGCCATCACGCCCAGCTGCATTTTATTTCTTTTGAGAGATTTTCTTTTACCAGATCTTTCACTTGGCAGCTATCTTTGCTGCAGTCTAACAACTCATCCCTTGGTGGAGAACTCTCCCTAAAACCTCTTTAAAAAATAATATATCCATATAACTTGATTATTCTATCTCTGAGCCACTTTGCCATAAGATCACTTGTATTGATTTAGGTTTTTATTAGGCACAGGTAAGGCTTGAATTTGAAAGAACCACAGCAGACTGTAGTGTGGAGACTTAAAAAAAAGTCTTCCCTACATTTTTGGTAGGTGCGAACAGGAATGAGCAATGAATCCTAAAGCCTTGGTGATGGGGGGGGGGGCAGATATCATGGTGTATATTTGTTACTCCTGCTTGAAAGTTGGCTGTCATTGATGAGAATGTGTGAGTCCTCACTTTGTTTTATTTTCCTGCCTCTCTGTTAGGGCATTCCTGGAGCTCCAGGGGTCCCAGGGATCACAGGAAGCATGGGACCGCAAGGCGCCCTGGGACCGCCTGTAAGTATGCAACAGCAGCTGGTCAGGACGTGTGCCCAGTCATCACATTTATTTGTGTGTTTAAATTTACCAGCATCTCTGTTGGTCAGAAATACTTATTCAGTATTGGGCTCCATGGGAATCCGTAAAGGAAACTGGAGAAACTCCTAGAATAAAGATTAAAATCAGATTGTGCATATGTCGCTGTTAAAGACAGATGCTCCTAATGGAATAAGCAGTCGTGCTTTTGCTTATATATATTTCTGTTGCTTGTGTTTTCTGTATTTGGATAAGTAAACTCAATATCATCTTTGCAGAGATTGGTGCAATAGCTATGTGTTAATCAAGCCTGGTTCCCACGGGGAAAAAATACAAGGCTTGAGAGGTTCAAGGTTTAATGAGAGTGGGAATAGATTTTTCTTTTCTAAATTCTACAAGACAGAATTTCCCATTAAAACACACACTCACACATAAGTGAGTAAACAGTGGTGTAAACATGAAAGAATAATTAACGGAATTCATTGCCTCCCAATTTTGTGTCTCTAAGTCTCAGGTTGGTGTTTAAATGTCATCAGTGGGAGGGAGAGAATGGGGGAAAAACAAATGAACACATCTGGGCCTATTTCTTCATCTGCAAAATGAGCTAATTGCATTGTATGGCCTCTGGAGCCACACTTGGCATCTTCTGGTGACTTGCAAGTTGTTCCTTCTAAGTGTAGGTGTTAGTCAGCATTCTGATATTATCTGTGAAGTACTAAGTCTGCAGCCATAAACTAAAACAGTTGAAATATGTAAAGGTGTTGGTGCAAACACAGTAAGAATTTGTGGAACAGTGAAATCTGATGGATGAGGGTTAAAGAAGCTAATGAATTAGATTTCTATTGCTGCTTAACAAATTACTGCAACCTCAGTGGCTTAAAACACAAATTTATTATTTTTACAGTTCTGTAGGTCAAAAGTCTGGCACAGATCTCACTGGGTTAAAGCAAGGTGCCGGTATTTCCTTTCTGGAGGCTATAGGGAGGATCTATTTCCTTTCCTTTTCTAGCTTCTAGAGACTGCCCACATTCCTTGGCTTGTGGCCCATTCCATCTTCAAAGCCAGCAAAGTTGCATCTCTCTGGCTTTTGTTCCGTAGTCACCTCTCTCTGACCACAGCCATGAAAGGTTCTCTGCTTTTAAGTACCTATGTGATTACATTGATAATTTTAGATAATCTCCCTGGATAATCCTGAAGTCCTTTACTAAATCACATTTGCAGAGTCCCTTTTGCCATATAGGGTGACATAGTCACAGGTTCTAGAGATTAGGGCATGGAAATTTTAGGGGCCTTTTTTCTGCCTAAGATAGTGAACAAGATATAACAGAAATGTTGGTTCTCGTTCAGAAAGATGCCTCTCTTCCTCTAACTACCCAGGTAGTCTTGTTACTCTTTCCTCTTGAAACTCATTTTAATAAAATTACTTCATCCTCTGAGTTCTTTTCTAGGCTATGACTCACATGAAACGTATGCAGGTATGCAAATCCATACAAGGTATGCACATCAAACATGCATTTTGATTTTAGCAAATGCATCCTAATTTTCACATCCAAATAAACGCTGTCCTTAGTAGTCACTTTACAAAGCCATATACCTATTCCAACTACACTTTCTTTGTCCAAAACGGTTTTAGATCTCCTCTTTTCAAATCAAACAAGTAAGGGGTCATAGAAAAAAAAATTTTGCCTGCTTTATCTTCACACATTTTTTTATCCTAAAAGATGTTACCAAGTATGATCCTATATGTAGAAACATACACTGACACCCACATGCTTGAGTACACACACACACATACACACACTCACACACACGCTCCTGTCTCTACCATTCTTCCACTGCAAGCTTATCTGTTCATTTGATTCTAGGCCATTTCATACCAGAAAAAAAAACTTAGAAATGCACTCTCTGCTATTAGGCTTCAGTCTGCTTCCCAAAATGTGCCCCTGGGAACCAGAGTTCCAGAATATGTCAACAGGGCTTAGAGAGCAAGGGGTCCTGGTCAAAGAAGTGTCAGAAACAGTGCATGCTAAATCTGTTTCTCAGAAAGTCGTGGGAAATTTTAGGATATCAAAGACTTTGAGGATCCAGAAATAAAATCAGAAAATACCAAAGAACTAGGTTAATTTGGTTGGAAAAAAACATAATTGTGCATGAGGTGATCTTCCTGTTCTTGCTGGCATCTCCTAGAATGAGTTTCTTTTAACCCAAGCTAGGAAAGAGCAAGCTAGAGATTGATCCTGATCCAAGAGGGATGGGATGGGAGAGGGCAGGCTCTGAGGGCCTCGGGGAAGTTAAAACGGGGTGTGGACTTCGGTAAGTGTGACAGCACCCTGCTGACCCACCCGGCCTTTTGTGGCTCTGGGTTAGACTCTAAATATGGGGCATACAGAAATACCAATAAGCTTCTCCAACAAATAAAACCCTTGTTAACAATGTTATTTTTGTTATCAATCAGCAGAAAAGGGCCCTCGATGGTGGCAGGTGGAGCCCTCAAGCATCGGCACTTTTAATCAGAGGCAGAAACCGTTTGTTCTCTAGGCGCTGGGTAGGGACACCACAGTAGGCTTGGAGATTTCCTCTCAAAAGCAAGTTGTTCTCTGAACTGTCCAGCCCAGATTTTTCCCTGTGTTTTGGGCTGCCAGCTCCCAGATGCCTGCTGGCTGCCCGACTGGTGTGACTGTTACAGCAGGCTCCGTGTCACGGTGTTTGGCCTTGATTGATTTCCCATGGATGTCTGTCTAGGAAGGCAGGAGGGAAAGAGACCAAGAGGGACAGACTGAAAATAGCAACGTGTTTCCTACAGCTGGTGCCAGAAACGCTTGCTTTCGTGCACTCTGCCTTCAGCTGCCAGCTCCCCAGGGTAGGACGCACTTTGCCGCTGCTGAGGTCCTAATTCCTTCCTCAGTTTTAGACATTGGCTTAAATGTGGTCGTTCCTCTGCAGTGGTGGCAGATAGTGATGAAGCACCTGAATAAGGGGGCTGCTCACTGCTATTTGGCCAGCTAGAGATGTCCAGGCTAGAGCATTGCCTCAGAAATCAGGATACCTGGGTTTTAGATGTGGCCTTGACAGGACCCAAACTAGCTGTGTGAGCCAATTCACTGAAGCAAATCTTCTAGTCTTCCACAACATCCATTTTCTAGTTCATTCATTAAAAATATTTAATCCGTAGGCACAATATATACAAGATTGCATGGTGGGGAAAGGTGGTGAGAGATACAAAAGATGATCAAGATATTTTTCCACATTCATGGAAAATCTAAAGAGAATCAGGTTTTTATATAAGAAGCTGTAATAAATGGCAGAAAGTGTGAAATGCCTTGAGGGAAAGACAAGGAATTTGCTATGAAAGTTCCAGGGATGGCAGGGGTTAGACAGAGAGCGAGAGAGGGAAAGAGAGAGGGAGAGAGGGAAAGAAAGAGGGAGAGAGACAGAGAGATGGGGATGGGGAGTGCCTCCTAAGCAGAGGGGTGTGCTCTGGAGTAGCAGCTCCAGAAAGAGGCAGCATTTCACTGAGATCTAGGAATATGGGTGGGATTCCCACCCACAAAGACAGAAAGATGGCAGTGCTTAGGTGGGGATTGTAGAAACACGTAGGAAAACACAGGGCACCCCCTGTCTTCTGTATGTTTTACTATTTTTCAACTGTCTCTAGTTCCATCACAACTACCAAAATTTTATTTCAGGCCCTGCTCACTCCTCACCAAGACTATCACAAAAAACTCTAATTGACCCTGGCCTCTGTTTCAGCCCTGGTCTAGTTCATTACCCGGCTTCCGGAATATCTTTCAGTACAACCCTGATGTGTCATTCCCTGGCTTGTGTCGCCTCACCAGATCCCTTTCACTAGAGGATGGGTCCCAAATGTGCAGCCTAGCGGGTGTGGTCCTTTCCTCTCCAACTTGGTCTACCATCATCCCTTCCCTTGGGGTTGAGTCATACAAAATTACTTAAAGCTCCCCAAATATATGCCATGGTGTTTCATGCTTTTTTGCCTTTTGGGATGCCCTTTGGCCTGTCTGGGCCACTTTCTCCTCCTTTCACCATCTGGTGAGCTCCAGGGTGTTCTTTCTTTTAAGAAAGCACATCTGCTGTGCAAAGCCACCCTCCCCTTCGCAGGCTGTTAGGGACTTCATTTCAACTATTCACGTCTGTCTCCACTGAAGTGATACTTCCTTGAGGACAGAAATTTTATCATTCTCATGTTTTTATTCCCAGAGCCCAGCTCAGTAGCTGATACAAAGAGGGTACTTAATATGTTTTTATTAAACAAAAAAAAGAAGATATGTTTGCATTCTAGATAAGCCGGTATTCAGGAGAGTATTGGAACATTGTTCTTATAGATCAGGGGTCAGGTCATGGAAGACCTTAGAACCAGCCTAAGTTGTTTTGATTTTGTTTAACAGTCATCTTTAATGTGTGGCACTTGGACCATGAGATCATTTATCTTCCTTTTAGCACTACATTTCTGTGAATCTATGAATGTAGCTACTGTATTTTCTTTTCTTTACATTTCACATGTTCCTGAAATTAAAGGAAAATGTGCCACTTTTTCCTCCCTACATCTGCAGGGAATGTGTTTTCCCTCAAAGCATACTTTGGTGGAGTTATGGGCCTTCACTTGCTCAGGAATTTTTATTTTGTTTTTGTTTTGCTTTATAAAAATCAAAGATGTCAAAGAAGTTGGAATAAAAAATAATTTCTTGCTGTACAGACATTTCACTAAAAAGATCTTTCACTGAGACTGCCTACCTGTGTCTTTTAGGTCTTTTAGCTACTTAATAATAAGCATCACGAGACTGAATTTGAGAAATTTCCGGCCCAATTAAACGGATCCATCTTTACATGCCAGAAGTTGCCAATAACTATTGCTGTCCATTTACCACATCAATCAGATTTGCACTGTAATTCCATTCCCTACATTTGAAACATTTTCAAACAAGCCAATTGAATAAATGATAGGAATGAAAATGTCAAAAAGGATAATGGTACAGAAATAAAAATATAGAAGATAAAATGGATTTTTAAAAATGACTCAAGTTGAAACCTAATTCTGAATTATTGGAGTTAGGCTTTGGGGATGGTATGTTTGCTTGTTTTGTTTTATTTTAATTAGAAAAAAATATTATCTTCACTGGAATAGAAGATATGGACTAACAGACTTGCTGAGAAAAAGCAGTGTTCTCTTTCAGTGGAGCAGAAGAGTATACTCAGGATGTGCACAGATTCCAGAGCCCACAATTTGGGTTCAGGTCCCAGCTTTTCCACTTCCTTGTGTGTCCTTGGGCAAGTGATTTAGCCTCTCAGTGCATCATTTTCCTAATCTGTAAAATGGAAGTAATATCTCATAGGGCTAATCTAGGGGATAAACATGTTAATCATGTATGAATGTTACAATGATTAAATAAGTTGATTTTATGGGAGTGTTATAAAGGTTAAATAAATTAATCTTACAGGGCTGTTATAAGGGCCAACTGAGTTAATATGCTGACAACACCAAGAACAGTGCTTGGGACATGGTAAAGCAGCTTAAGTATTAATGACTAGCATTTATAGTTTCTTAATAGGTTAAAAATGTGGAGTATTTATTTTGTTTGCTGATTTGTGTGGTTTGTGTGTGTGTGTGTGTGTGTGTGTGTGTGTGTGTTTCCCTCCAATACTTGAAAAGCATTTTGGAAATAAAAAATAATAAAAGTTATTATTTATTTTTTTTGTGCACATATGTTTATTTCTGCTGTTATATAGACAGAGACACCATCATGTTCTTCAGAGATTCACAGAATTCCAGGGTCTAAAATAGCTTAAGAACCAACTGTACTTTACAGAGTCAAAATAATCTTGCAAAGGGAATACAAGTTATTGTCCCCAGTTTCAGGGATCTTACCATCTACGTAGAGGGAAGAGAAATCCATGCATTGACTTGTAATTAAATATATACAATAACAAAAATCTGCTGTCAAGTAACTGATATTCGAACTAAGTACTGCATCAGAATAGTTCCAAAGTTGGTACTTAATTTATAAGATTTATGCTTAATACTTTTCCTACATTTCAAATTGTTCATATGCTAAGTAGACTGGGCCTGTGAAAATGAGAAATTGTAACTTTGGGGAGTAGGCAGCAGAGAGGCTGGGACTAAATTACAAAAGACTGTGTTCACAAATTTTGGCTTTGTCGCATGGATGTCCAAGAATCACTGAGTGATTTAAATAGAGGAAGAGCAGCCATCAATCAATAGTCACTGAGCTTTGTATGTTGTGTGCCAGTGGTACCTTAGGAAGATGAGTATAGTGGTTATATGGACGATGAACTGGGAGGAACAGCTTTCATTAAGGAAGTCAGCTAGAAGGATGCTGCAGACGCCCTAGTCACAGCTGGGTGGTGAAATAGAAGGGATGGATATGAGAGGAATTGCAATGCAATGCAAAAAAAAAAGTGTCTGTGCATATGTGTGTGTACTGAATAGACATGAGAGAGGCGAGAAAGGAGAGAAGAAAGAGAAGTAGTGGTGGGCCACTTGCATCTGCTCAGGAGGGTTGATTGTGCACTTCTCTTTCCTGCCCAACCCCATCTTCGGTGACAGCACATTTGTATTAATAGCTCAAAATTAGCAGTAGTAAAAGCATTTGCACCTCTGAAATCAGCGAACACTACAAGTCTGGGCATTTTCTTTTACTGGAAAGCCAGTTTACCAGCATACCATGGGGTATGCAGAAATTTATACCAGAAATTTTGAGTTTCAGTAACTGTTAACTGAACAGAGATTTTGGAGAAGACACAGAGTTTGGTTTTGAATCTGTTGAGATTGAAGTAACAACTGGAAACAGTCTGACAACGTGGCAAATTCCATTTATAAATTCCATTCAATCTCCTTTTAGTAGTGACTATAAAAATGTTGTTCAATGAACATTGCCTCAGAGTCGAAACAAAAATATGAAATGCTTCCGAAGACATATGTTTTGCATTGTAAGTGTAATTTCATTTCAGAAACACTGAAGACACCACTTTTTCAGTAAATTTTTCATGGTAATAGCAAAGTTTCTTGAGGGTCAAAGAATAGCCAAGCCACAATATAAAATAATAATTCAGCTGAGAATTCATGTATATATGAACCCCCATGTTGGGGAGAATTAGGGAGAATTGTGTGCCATAATGCTGGACAGAAAGTCTGTGGAATTTCATCTACTACTTGAACTCCTAAATTGAGAGGAAATATTTTCCTTCTATTTACAGATACTCCTTAAAAAATTAAAATAACTTGACTATTCAGAAGAGATTCGTGAAATAAGTTATGAAGCTTCAGTAGCGTAGTACGTTACACAGAGGGCATTTAGTGTGGAAAGATACGAAGGACCTACTCAGTGGAAACGTGTGTCCCAGTGCAGTCTTACCACATGACTACAATTTTGTGGCCATAAAATACCACGGCTCTGCATTAAACGGCTGGAGGAGTAGAATGTTTAAAAGAGCTATTTATGTGTGGTGGGATTACAGGTTGCTGTCTATTTCCTGTTGTTATGTAGCTATTTTTGCTGCTGAATTACTAGAGCTAAGAAAAATGTCTTAATAAAGTAATAAAAGATGCATTATCATTCTTAGCTGAGTGCAGTATCATAAGTAACTTGATAATTTTTTTATTTTTGCAGGGTGTCCCTGGACCAAAGGGGGAACGAGGAGAACGAGTGAGTACCCTGGGGCACTGTTTACTGGCCCCAGCAGGTTGCACACCTTCCATTGCATAAGCCTGACAAGGATGGCTGTTTAGTGCTACGGTTATTCATTGATGTCTCTCTTCTTCTCTCTCCCCAACTCCTTAGACCATGAGCACATTTTCCTGTGTCAAAACCCCTGTGGGCTGGATGTCAGCAGAGCTAGTTTCTAATTGCCTGTCTGCTACCATCCAGCTCAATGACCTTGGGCTCATTTCTTTAAGGATAAAACAGGAAGAATCAAACTCATCTAACTCACTAAGTGGATTTGATGAGAGAATTATATAATGGATGTGAAAGGGCTTCAGAAAAGTAAAAGCTCTATACAAATGCCAGATTGTATGTAGCACAGGGCTCCTGTGTTTCCTGATGCTCCAAAGTTGGCACCCAGGAAGACAAGGCAGACATACAATTGAAGAACTGGCCTCCAAACTTAAATCAGTTTAATTGAGGAGTCTTCTCTCTCCTTTTAGAAATTGTGCAGCTGCTAATATAATTGTGCCATTGGCTATAGTGAAAATAGCAGTGGCCTCAGGTTCATCCAGTTACCTCTGTGAAACCTTAGGGAATGTGTTTAATGCTGTTTGGCCATAAATTGAGTTTAATGTCTTTCCTCTGGGTTGTTATTAGTATTAAAATGAACCACTGCTTGAGAAAGTGCCGCATTTTGTAAGCTCTAAAGACCTGTAAACAAGGCATTAAATATATATGGATTTGTTTCAAAATTATTAAATTTTTTTAGAATCTGGGACCAGAAATACTTACTTGAGCTCATTGATCTAATACGGACATTCAGGAAGCTTGAACCATGAATGTCAAATTGCTAACTCTTTCTATGCGTGCACCATGGTGGCCAATCCTACCTGTTGCTAGGAACCGAAGAGCCCTAATGTGAAAAATGGGGCAAGTCAGATCCACATCCTAGAAGTACTGGCCATGTGGCTGGGTTGTGGATAAGTCAGAAGTGTGATTTTTTTCTCATCCAGGGCGACCTGCAGTCTCAAGCCATGGTGAGAGCAGTGGCACGTCAAGTATGTGAACAGCTCATCCAGAGTAAGTGCATTATAGCTAACGGGGTCGTTTCCCATTATTCATCCAACTGGGAGCTTGCCTTTCCCAGGAGCATAATGACTAGGGAAAACTCCTGCAAAGTTTTGTCTTGGTGAGGACAAGTAAGCTTTACAAATGGCCTTCACTGATCCGTCTAGGAGAACATTACAAATTACTGTAGAGCTCTAAATCAGTGGTACGGAAGCCAAATTCCTCTGTGTCATTGGTCCAAGAACTGTCTATTTGCTCATGTAAATTTAACTTGACTGCCCAGATCAAATCTTCTATTTCTTTTTCATTTCTCCAAATGGATATGTTTGTTTCTCAAGTGCGTAGCTCTTCAGAGCTGCCAGACTACATCTTTAGAATCTACCTTCAAAAAGATGATAACATGGTGTTGATTTTTATTAACTCACAAGATTTAAATCAATGTCGCCTTCGTATTCATTTCATATCTGTTATCTTCTGGTTAGCCTAAGGTACTTCCCTTTGTTCTTTAGGATTTTTGCCAAAATACACACACAGGTGCATGCACACACACACAGGAGAGGCTTGATGTGACATTTGATATGACACTTGAGCTTTGTGCCAAAAATTATATCAGAACACACTTGATACAACACTTGCTCCATTTCTTCATTTGAAACGAGCTTTTTGACAGCACTGTACATACTCCCAATTTGCAGGTTTCCTTCCTACCCACTGACTAACCAGAGGGTTACTCATGTGGGCCCTTCTCTTTGCCAGTAATTTGTTTAGTTCCAGGAAATTAGAGGCCAAGTAGAGATTAAATAGTCCTCTCGACCCCACCCAGCTCTAGCCTATCTCTGATGTAGGGCCTCCACCCCACTAGCACCCTCCACCTCAGGGCTGACATTACCCAAGTGGTTACCTTATCAGCTCAGAAGTTACATTTATTTTATTTTAATTTTTATTTCAGAATATTACAGGAGTAGAAATGTTTTGGCTACATGAATTGCTTTGCTTACAGTTTGAGTCAAAGTTATAAGTGTGCCCATCACCCAGATAGTGCGCATTGTACCCATTAGGTATGATTTCATCCATCCCCACCTCCCCCCTCCCACCTGCTTGATTTACATTGAGTTTTGCTTCCATTTGTACACATGAGTGTTGATATATTAGTTCCAGTTGGTTTTTCCATTCTTGCAATACATCACTTAGGAGAATGGGCTGCAGCTCCACCCAGGTTGTTACAAAAGGTATTAGTTCACCGTTTTTTATGGCTGAGTAGTACTCCATGATATACATATACCACATTTTATTAATTCACTCGTGAATTGATGGGCACTTGAGTTGATTCCATATCTTTGGGATTGTGAATTCTGCTGCAATAAACAACCTAGTGCAAGTGTCTTTTTGATAAAATGGCTTTTTTTCTTTGGTTAAATATCCAGTAGTGTGAATGCTACATCAAATGGTAGGTCTACTTTTAATTCTTTGAGGTATCTCCATACTACTTTCCATAGAGGTTGTACTGTTTGCAGTCCCACCAGCAGTGTATGAGTGTTCCTTTCTCTCCACATCCACACCAGCATCTGTTGTTTTGGGATTTTTTTCATAAAAGCCATTATCACTAGAGTTGGGTGATGTCTCATTGTGGTTTTGATTTGCATTTCTCTGATGACTAGAAACAAGCATTTTTTCATATGTTTATTGACCATTAGTCTATCTTCTTTGGAAAAGCTTCTGTTCGTGTCTTTTGATACTTTTTAATGGGGTTATTTGATGTTCCCTTGCTGATTTGCTTGAGTTCTTTATAGATTCTGGTTATTAGCCCTTTATGGAATGTATAACAAATAAATATTTTCTCCCATTCTGTAGGTTGTCTATTCACTCTATTGATTGTTTCCTTGGCTGTGCAGATGCTTTTTAATTTAATCAAGTCGCATATATTAATTTTTGTTGTTGCTGCGATTGCCTTTGGGGTCTTCTTCATAAATTCTTTGCCTAGGCTGATATCTAGAAGAGTTTTTCCAATATCAGTTCTAAAACTCATATAGTTTCGTGCCTTAGGTTTAAGTCTGTTATCCATCTTGAATTAATTTTTGTGAGTGGTGAGAGGTAAGGATCCTGTTTCAATCTTCTACATGTGGCTATCCAATTTTCCCAGCACCATTTATTGAAAATGGGGATTCTTTTCCCTGCTGTATGTTTTTGTCTGCTTTGTCAAAGATCAGATGACTATATGAGGATGATTTTATATCTGGATTCTCTTTTCTGATCCATTGGCCTATGTCTCTGGTTTTGTGCCAGTACCATGCTGTTTTGGTTACTATAGCCTTGTAGTATAGTTTGAAGTCTGGTAAAGTGATGCCTCCCAATTTGTTCTTTTTGCTTAAGATTATTTTGGCTATTCAGGCTCTTTTCTGGTTCCATATGAAGCATTCAATTATTTTTTTCTAGATCTGTGAAAAATAATGTTGGTATTTTAATGGGCATTGCATTGAATCTGTAAATCACTTTGGGTATTGTAGACATTTTAACAATGTTGATTCTGGTGAACCATGAGCATAATATGTGTTTCCATTTGTTTATATCCTCTGCAATTTCCTTCCTCAGTGATCCATAGTTCTTCTTGTAGAGATCTTTCACCTCCTTGATTAAATATATTCCTAGGTATTTTGTTTTCTTTGTTGCTATTGTGAAAGGTATTGAGTCTTTGATTTGATTCTCAGCTTGACTGTTGTTAGTGTATAGAAATACTATTGATTTGTGTATTGAGTTGTATTTCTTGAGTTGTATTTCTATTGAGTTGCATTTATTCCTGATTGAGACTAGGGAGGATTGAGCCTAGGGAATTTATCCATTTCCTCAACATTTTCGAGTTTATTTGCATAGAGATTTTTATGGTATTCAGAGATGATATTTTGTATTTGTGTGGTATCAGTTGTAATATCTTCTTTTTCATTTCCAAATATGCTTATTTGGGTCCTTTCTTTTCTGTTTCTGGTTAATCTAGCAAGAAGTCTGTCAATTTTTTTATCTTTTCAAAGAACTAACTTTTTGTTTCATTAGTCTTCTGTATAATTATTTTGTTATCTATTTCTTTTTGTTCTGCTCTGATCTTAGTTATTTCCTTTCTTTTGCTGGGTTTGGGATTGGTTTGCTTTTCCTTTTCTAATTCCTTGAGATGATCGTTAGATTGCTGATTTGTGATCTTTCTGTCTTTTTGATGTAGGCATTGAAGGCTATGAATTTTCTTCTTAATGCTGCTTTTGCTGAATCCCACAGATTTTTTTGATGACTTCTGTCCCCTTTGTCATTTAGTTTGAGGAATCTTTTTATTTTCATCTTTATTTCCTCCTTGACCAAATAATCATTCAGCAGTAGGTTGTTTAATTTCCATAACTTTGTGTAGAGTTCAGTGTTTCTCCTGGAATTAATTTCTAATTTTATTCCATTGTGGTCTGAAAAGATACATGGTATAATTTCTATTTTTTCAAATTTGTTGAGACATGTTTTGTGGCCTAAGATGTGATAAATCTTAGAGAATGTTCCATGTGCTGATGAGAAGAATGTATATCAGTAGTCTTGGGGTAAAGTGTTCTATAAATGTCTGTTAGGCACATTTGTTCTAGCGTTCCATTTATGTCCAGTGTTTCTTTGTTTATTTTCTGTTTGGAGGATCTGTCCAGTTCTCTCTGTGGGATATTGAAGTCCGCAGCTATTACAATGCTGCTGTTTATCACTTTGTTTAGATCTAGTAGGGTTTGCTTTATGAATCAGGGTGCATCTGTGTTTATGAATCAGGGTGCATCTGTGTTAGGTGCATAAATATTTAGGATCATTATGTCTTCTTGTTGAATTGCTCCCTTTACCATTATATAATGATCATCTTTGTTTATTTGAAGTCTATGTTATCTGATATGAGAATGGCTCCACCAGCTTTCTTTTGGTTTCCATTTGCATGGAATATTGTTTTCCTTCCCTTCACCTTGACTCTGAAGGAGTTCTTGTGGGTTAGATGTGTTTCCCGGAGACACTGGTACTTGGCTTGTATTTTTTTTTATTCATTCAGCCAGCATATGATTCTTGAGTGGGGAGTTCAAGCCCTTCACATTTATTGAAAGAATTGATAAGTGGGTGGATTTCTGTTCATCCTGTTGAGTAGAACCTTATTGCTTTGTTTCACCTCTCAAGCCATTATGGTATATGGGCTCTGAGCTTTAGCTTTTGGGTGATTTTATACTGGTGGGTGTCTATTGTGCTGATCAATGTATAATGCAGATTTGAGTAGTTCCTGCAGGGCGGGTCTGGTCTTGACAAATTCCCTCAGTGTCTGCTTGTCTGAGAAAGTCTTTATTTTTCCCTCATAAAAGAAAATTAGTTTTGCAGGATACAGAATTCTAGGCTGGGCATTATTCTGTTTGAGAAGATTGAGAATGGGGCCCCAATCCCTTCTAGCTTGAGAAATCTGCTGTCAGTCTGATGGGTTTTACTTTGTAAGTTATCTGATGTTTTTGCCTTCAGCTTGTAGGCATTCCTTCTTTGTGTTAACTTTGGCCAGTCTGATGATTGTGTGTCATGGTGATTGCCTCTTTGCTAGGAATCTCCCAGGAGTCTGTTGAGCTTCTTGTACCTGGATATTCTTTCACTGGGCTATAAGCTTCTCTAAATTTGATCCACACTACTATCTTCTCCTCTCTTATCTTCTTCTTTCTCAGCTTCGTGTTTTTTCTCCGTGGGGTTTCCAGACATCTCTGTTGTGTCTTTCTGTGATCCACACCTGAGTTGTTACTCCTCCCTGCTCTCCTCAGTACAATATTCTACCTTCCAGCTGAGACAGTCCAACAAGCAATGTCTCTGGTCAGCCATCTTAACTCTCTGCCCCCATATTTATTTTAACCCAAGGAAGTTTGGGAGTTAGGCCAGGGGAGCCCTGCAAATGTCCAAGAAAGCCCTATTGGCTGAGTCTAAAATTCCATCTGTGGTTCTGAGATAAATCCAAATCTCACCCTAGGGGAGGCATGGAGTCAAGATCTGCATAGACTTGGAAGAGTTTTTATTTAGACAAAACTATCAGGGCAAATGAAGTACAAAGCTACTAAATTCAGACACAATAGTGATGCTCCCTGTATTTTAACTTTATTTAATTTTATATTATATTGCCCAAAACTAAGTATGTGTGTGTGTGAGAGAGAGAGAGAGAATTTACCAGTTAAATGTAATTGTTCAAGTTTAATGCCAAAATAGGATCTTTAAAAATACAATAAATTATAAAAGGGAAATTGAACATTAGTCACTTTTGTAGTAGAATGTATCCAAAACTAACCTATAATTTGTATTATTTTGCAGGTTTTTCATTTCAAGTGTGTAATGTAAATAAGTAGTTTATTATATTACAAAAACTTAAGGGATAAATCTTAATATGGCTGACTGACCACGTGAGAAAGATTTCATAGTGTTTTCTGTCTTATTCCACTATAGAATAAATCTCTTCTTTAAATATATGATTATTTAAAGCATGGCCTAAAATTGAGGGTTCAAAATTGGATTTTTCCTTTTAAGAATTTTGAGACTTTTGTGAATGACTTCTAGGAAGTGAAAGCCAGCAAAGGGTTAGACAAGAAAGCCTGAACAATATATATATGAAAGAAGGCCTTTGCCTGTCAATGCAGTTGTAAGAGAAGGAAATTGAAGAGATTGTATGCACTTGATAAGAAAAGCCCAGCCTCCTCAGAGGCTTGTATTCTTGTATCTCAACCATCTTCCTAAACACTACTTCAGCTTTCTCTGAGCTCCTTATTTTATTCCTTAGGCTCCCACTCAGAACTTGATTTATCAGTTAGTATATAGTTTCTCATAAGATCAGCTATCTGGTTTTTAGTTCACAGTTAATCAGAAGAATTATGCTAGGAAGGGTTATATGGGAAACTGTGCAAGGCCAAAGTGATGCCAGCTGGGATGGAGAAACGTCTTATCACCCAGGCAACAATTGGCGTGCCCCCTAATAGCCATAGAGTCATCAGGGAGATCCCTAGACATGGTCACAGTCCAATGCTTGAGGAAATAATGCATCGAATATATTTTAGAATGAATTCCTTGAAAAATGGTTACTATTTTTTTTATTTAGCTTTAAATATTTGGTAAGGGAAAAATAATAGTAATATAGAAAATTCACTTATGTGGGAAAATCTTATCTCCTGATGATGCTGGAAAAATGAAGCATTACAGTATCAAATTCTTTATAAATCTGTACTTCTAATTATTAAGATATATTCCTCCAGGCATAACTGAGTTAAGGGATTGTGGGAGAGAGTGCCAGATCTTGTTTTATAAAGCTAGTGGGAGTTTTTGCAGCTGGGACCCACATAAAGGTTCCTGAAAAAGGGCTTGGCAACCAAGGGAGGAGTTGAGATAGAGCACTTGTCTGGGGATTTGTAAGCAAGAGGGTGGGGAGGCTTTGTGGATTGGAAAAAAGACAAATAACTTGGGGGGAAATTGCTAGAGAAAAGGCAGCTGGGTGAGGGTTTAGGGATCTGACAAATGTTGGTGGTGAACATAAAATTTATGCTTTCTGCTCAATGATGTTTATTGAGATGCTCACGTGAGCTGTGGAATTCCAAACACATGAGATATAACTTAATACAATCCAGTTGTTAATATCATCCAAAGTAAAATGTAAAAAATTTTAAGTTGGAAATCAACATATTAATATTTCCAAGGGGTGTGCTATTTTCCTTGATGGGTATCTAACAGAATTCTTTGGAGCCTTAATGAATAATACCCCTCAGCCTCCCTTTCTTTGTGTTCACTGAATGCTGTCTTTTTATTTTGTGCCTCAGGTCACATGGCCAGGTACACAGCCATCCTCAACCAGCTTCCCAGCCACTCCTCATCCATCCGGACCATCCAGGGGCCTCCTGGGGAGCCTGGAAGACCAGGCTCACCTGGCACCCCTGGTGAACAAGGACCCCCAGGCACACCAGGTTTCCCAGGAAATGCAGGCATGCCAGGATCCCCAGGAGAACGAGGTAAGCTGGACCCCTTCTCTCATTGGAACTTCTCTGTGAAGCAAAGCATCACAGTGGTGTTCACTCAATGATAAAGTCTGAAGTAATGGACTTAAATTAATGCTACTCCATCTATTCTTCAGTTTCTTTTTATCCTTGAGATTGAGAAAATTGAGTAATCTAAAAACGTGTTTATCAAGAATCACATCTACTTGGATGAAAGAGGAGGGTCAGAACCCCCAACTCACCTCTGAAAGACTTTTGAGATACTCCCTCTAGAAGGATGAATTCAGCGTTGAATTTAACCCTTCCAGATTGAAGAATTAGAAAATGATGCCCCCCTCTGGCCAGATGTGGCATCACACATACGTTACAGCAAGCAGAGAGCGTACTCCAGTAGATCTGGTGCTTTTTTGTACGGTGCTCAAACTAGTTAATAGTGAGTGGCAGTCCTGACAAAAGTCATGAATCACATCAAGATATGGTTCACATGTCCCTATATAGAGCATGTTGGCTCTAAATTTCAAATTAAAGTACTGTTTGTGGTCCATCTTCCTGTAATATGAGGCAACAACTTATTTTATAGTGTTATGGGGCAATGTTTCGTCTTTTCTACTAAAGTTGCATTAAAGGAGAGATTCTGTTTAGCCTCTTCTTCTACCATATATAGGTATTATAAGTATTGCATAATAGTAATGCAATAAGATTCCTTTGATTGAACCTATAATTGACTGAGATCTCCCATTCCAGAAGCAGATGAAAGATGTGCAAAGTTGAGGTTGCATGTTAACCATGAAGAAAATGATAAGGAGAGACAAGTATTTTCCAAGACACAACTTCTAGAGCATAGATCTGGGGAAAAGCTAGCTATTACTTATCTGCTCTGGGAGTCATATTACTTTTGTGAGATGGGTAGGATATAGTCCTTTTATAAATTTGAAGTGTAAAATGCAGATTACAAAGATAGTATTTCATGTTCATTCTTGATCCACGACAACAGGCCTTGTGCATTTTCCCCTTTGGAAATGTCCTTTCCTCACCTTGTCTCCCATATATTTTAATCCTAGTTCAAGACTCACCTTAATGCCTATTTCATGAATGAAATTTTTATTGATCCCTCCATACCACAAATGTCTCCACCCCCCGAACACCTGATGCACTTCCTATCTCTTCCTCCCATTTTGGTTCTCATTATGTGTTAATGAACAGTTAGATTGCTGAGAACAGGGATGGGGTCTGAATTGCTTTGCACGATGCTTTGCACTTAATAGGTACTCACTAGATAGTTGTTGCTTTGATTGTGACCCAGTTCTGATTTTTCTTTCTGAAGATTTTTCCCTGTGTCAGGTCACAAAATCAGCAGACATAATTCTCTTGCAACATACCAAAGATAGGCAGCCTGGAAGGTGGCCCCCTCTGTCAGCAGGGCACCCTCTGATGGTGTTGGTGATGGAGGAAAAAATGTGACTCAGGGAGCACAGAGCCAGCACCTGAGTCACTCCCAGCAAGTCACAAGTTGTCTTTGTTCTTTTTGGAAATCCTAGCCCTGTTCTTGCCAGACTGAGTCTTTCCTACTCTGCTAGACTACTTGAATGATTAGACCAGAGAAAAATCATCCAGCAGTTTTAAAAGAGCAGCTCAGACAACCTTTCAAAATATGAATTTTTGTAATGTAATTTTCTTATATACATATTGATATATATTCCTAAAGAGTACATTAGACAAGCAAGGTCCTGTATCTCACAAATGCATACAGGATGAAGTAAAAGAGAAAGTGAGAAATGCGCTTTAAGCATGGGGGAAGGTGATTTTAGTTGATCACCCGTTGAGGGTGTGGTTTGGCCATTACTAGGTTGGGGTTCATAGGCCAGCATCCAAGGGCTTCTTTATTCCCAGCAAAGTTATTGTAGTTCCAGCTGGGATTTGGTGTTTCGTTCTTAGCCGTGTGATCCTAATACCCAGAAAAGAATGAAAGAGGAAAATGTCTGTCTTTCCACTAAATCAAAATAGTGGAATTTTAAAACTGAGGAGTCTTCAGTGGTTTTTTACCTCCTGATCCTCTCACTTTATATAAAAGGAATCATATGAAGATATTGAGGCCAAAAGAGACTCAAAGTCAGCCAACATCAGGACTCAAAATAAGAACCAGAGACCATATTTTATTCTGCTGTATAAATATGATTATCATTATTCTCTATTAAATAATCTCAAAAAGACACAATATTGTAATGAGTAAAAATAAGTACTATTACTAGGCAGTGTATTTAGACAAACAATAAACTACAAAACCAAGATTAAAAGAAATGTGGCTGTCAGGTTGTCTGGCATAGCACTGAACTGTACCCACTTTCTGCTACAGCTTCATAGGAGCCCCATATGAGTCTTCCCAAAAAACTCCATCACTGCATTCATTTTTGCTAATTTTTCATCAGAGTTCTCCATCTGATTTTTCTATTGTAGTTTTTCAAACTTTTAAAAATACTATGTACGATAAAAAAAATACATTTGACATCATGACACAGTATGCTTATGCATATGGATGCATAAAAATGTATGTGCTTACCCTTACCATTGTGTTGTTTTCTTCTTTTGTTAAAAGGCCAAGGAGAGACCTTGGATTTCCAGACCTTGGTTTGAAAAACACTATTCTAGTGCAATATCTTTGATTAATCCCGTCTTTATCAGAGGAATAGCCAAAGAATATACATTTTTAGAGAGTAGAAGAAAAATTACATAAATTCCCTTCATATTAGCAATGTGATATATATGACTTTTCATGACTTTCCTTATTACCTAACAAAAGACTATATTTTTTCTCTATCTGGTTGTCCCCGTCTTTCCTCATTAACCCTTTGTGTCCTTTAACTTAAACTAAATCTTTTTTGTAAGTGTACATGGAACACATACTTATGAAGTCTTTTAGCTATTTTCTCACATGGGTTGTAATATATTGAGAATCCTTGGAATTTAAGGATTCAAAAGGATCCTGTGGCTCATATCATTCAAGTTTTCTACTTAAAGCTTGAACTCCAACTTAGATTTGTCTAATTATTGGCACACAGAATTGAAGAGGTTTCCATTTGCCTGAGATCATACTTATGTTCTATAGCCCAGTTTCTCACCTGCTTTTCCTTCTTACTTGTATTTCACTGTTAATTTACGTCAAAGAAAAGCTGCTCCTCCATGGATGCTCTTTGGTTACCTCTCCCCATTAAATCCTGCACTGTCTTCATGGTTCTTTATAACCTGCCTTCTCAGCATTCCAAAATTCAGGAAGGGGTAGCATCAGGACTAAGGTTCCTCCTTTCTTCATTGACCTGTGACAATCTGGTGCTGGCTATTCTCACGTCAGTTCACTCTCCAACCATGGCCTTGGGTAATTCCATCCTTGATGGTAGATCCTTTTCTAATTCTGATCTCTGTGTATCATTCCAAGATGATTCATCTGTTCATTTCCTTACTCTGTTCATTTAAATCTTCATTATCCACACTGGCATCTTGAACCATGTATTAACCAAGTTTATTTACTTGAAAAGAATTAGGAAATTTCCCTGACTTCAGCCTTTATGCAAACCCTTCAGTTTCCATGATGCCCCAAAGATTACTAAAATCAGAGGAACCATCTAACTATAGATTTTCATTTTTTAGACTGTATGTCCACAACAGCTGGAATTTATATCTGGTTTTTATACAATAAATCAGCAAAGTATTTATTGAATGCAGGGTCTATGCAAGACTTTTTGGCTTGACAGTGTGTGAGATAATACTATTATTTATGACTTTCATTTATTAGGCTTCATAACGTATCTGCCAATTGTTGTGCTGAGACCGATACACACATTATCTCATTTGGGTAAAGCGGAAGACCTGGTTTGGATAAGGCAGGAAAATGAAAAATTAGTGAATGTACATGTTGGGAGATGGTAAATGCTTAGTGACTTAAGTGAAAAAGTCAATGACGTCAGAATGTAGAGGAAGATACCACTGTGGTCTTTGAGAAGAAAGGGTGCTAGCGTCTGTTAAGCAACTACTCTGTTAGTTGCTAGGCATGTTATGGAATGCTCATGAACATCTTATGAGATCAGTATTAGCCCCATTTTAGGTGAGAAAACTGAGGTTCAGCTCCATCGTTAGTTGTCCAAGGTCACATAGTGGAACAATAAGGGGACTAGAACTTAAATCCTGATAATATGATTCTAGAATGTCTGTGCTTGCTCCACTATGCCCTGTTGCTGCCCTTGATTTACTTGTTTAGTGAGGTTCACAGAGGAGAGGCCAGGGCTATGCAGGGTCTGGTGAACCCCATTTCAGGATGACTCCTAATAACCACAAATTCAAAACATGTGACCTGCTGAATTAAGCAGAATGTCTCAATGGATTGTGATTATACTATTTACAAGCTTCTCGTGCAGTCTGTTTTGCTGTATTTGGATAGCTTTGGGGCACTCATGCCTAGGCAAATGACTCTGTAAAGCTGGATGATCCATTGGGTAAATATGAATGTGATAAAAACATTTTCCGTTGTTACACATTTTGGTACCTGACCATTCTTGTAGGATCTTAGCATGTATCCAGACTATAGAGGAGCCCAAGTAGGGGAATTAATTATGGAGAAATGATATGTCATGCATCTGGTAATCTGGGGTACAACTATAAAAGTTATATGTCTATTATAATATCTCACCCTAGAGGCAAATAGGGGAGAACTGGAACGATGCAATTCAATTCTGTTTTACTTCTGATACTTTAGAAGGGAAATCATTTTTGCCTCACTACTTTGTGATGTTGCTCTAGCTGGGAGTGGCATGATGGAAAGGAAAGAATGCAGTTTGGGGCCCAATCATACATAGGTTAGGATTTTAGCTTTTCCATTTACTAGCTGTATTATCTTGACTACTTAAGCTTAAAACCTAATCTTGGGCCCAGGCACTGTGGCCCACACCTGTCATCCCAGTGTTTCGGGAGACCAAGGCAGGAGAATGGCTTAAGGCCAGGAGTTCAAGACCAACCTAGGCAACATA